GTCGAGTTTCAATTGCGATTTGTAATTCACTATCCACGTGTTGGGGATGCGGCGCCCTACTAACACGTGGCTTAATTTGATCTCACCGCGGTGATGAACAAATAATTATATTTTCAATCACCTAACTCAGCATTCATAAGACAACCGATCTCTTTAATGCATTGTTTTATAATAGGTAATAGATGCACTTCTGATCAGAGTTGTGATATGATTAGCAACTCTTGATTTAAAAGATTAAAACTTACATGCAACGGAGTGTATATCTTCATGTACTTATTTCTCTCCACGTGAATCACGTTTGTGAGGATAAACCCAGGACACCCTTACACCACCAGAGCAGGGTCAACCAAGCCTCCACCAAGATTGAAAGAATCAATACATGTTCCCAAGCCATTTTTAAATTTTAATCCCAAACACACTGCCCATATACATTATATATAAATAAGCTGTAAGGACCTCCCCAACTCTTGGATTTGCAGCAAAACTTTCAGTCGCTGCCCCAATGCAGAGCCCAGAGAACCCTTGAGCTCTAATATTTACTTATTTCATTAATTTTTTCCAACGATCAAATTCAAGACACCCATTCATTTATATTTAGACAGATAACTCTGCTCAAAAGAGCCTCCACATTGGATCCAAAGAGATAAAAATAAACACAAGATCAGCAATAATTCATAATAAGAACCGATTAAATCAAAGGAAACTTTCTCATTAATGTGATTCATCTTTGATTTTCAACATCCATGACAATGCTCAATTCTTGAGACATTCACAATCACAATCACAAACCCAAACACATAACAACAGCAAAAGCAAAACGCAACATAACATAAACGGAACAATATGTCTGCCACCAATTGGGTTTAGTTAGCAGCGTCTGCAGTTTTCTGGTTATCCATGGCCGGAACCTCCTTGGTCTCTGCAGCTTTCGGGGTTGGCGGCAGAGGGGGAGTTACCGGCTGCGGCGGCATAGCATGACCGGATACTGCAGCAGCAGCAGCATCAGCCACCTTGTCTGCAGCTGCAGCATCATCAGAAAGAGGAGCCAAAAGATAGTCAGGGGACATGAACAAGCTCTGGGATGGCCTTCTCTGGTGGCGATTGGCTCTCTGAGACATTTTCTGGTTTCTTTTGGAAATTGAGGTTATGAAAAAGGAGATAAGGGCTGCGTATGGGAGTGTGTACGGGGAAGAAAGAAGAGTGTTGTTGTATAGCTAGTTAGGTGTAGACATACAGGCATGTAGCACAGAGTGTTGACTCTGTTTTTATACTGCTGAGATGGGTTAAAAGCTGTTAGGTTGGGATTTTCTAATATCTAATGTCCCGGGATCTATGGGCACTATCTTGCAGATGAATTGTATAAAAATGGAAAGTATCTAGCTTTGTAATCCCATAATTGACCCCCACAATTGGACTGGGTGGGGTAAAAGTTATGGGATGGGGCGGTCGTATACGTCTTTTTGATTATATATATATCGATTACGTGCTGCTTACAGGATGAGATGATTGTAAGAAAAAAATACAACTAAGAGTTTCTTAGAGAGGTGTGAAAGGGGTGGTTGGCCATAAATTTTAATTTGACTACACCTTTGTTTTACCAAAGTTAATGAGATGTGAAGATCTTTACCATTTTTGGTTATACTTATCGATAACGCGCTCGTCATGGGATGAGATAATTGTGATAAAATATCACTACTAATTTTCTTATGAAGGTGTGAAAGGCTAGTTAGTCCTTAAATTTTAATTTGGCTACACATTTATTTTACATAAGTTACTCATATGTATAGATTTTTTTTTTGCATCTTTTTGAGGGGATTTGACAATTAATGCAATAGTTTATATTGGTTTTATTACCAAAGATATGAATGTTTAAGCATATCACCAATTAAGAGGTTATATATGTCTTTTTTAGAGTACTGCTATTTCCATCTACATTATTTTTAAAATTTTAAAGACATTTATCCCATTATAACATGACTTCTAAAGACAAATTTACCCCTCTCTTTGTTTCTCACCATTGTGTGAATGTCCATTTGTCCAACCAAACACCAAACCATGAAAGCAATAACAAATGGGGAAGATAGAAAATAAAAACAGAACAACCGATATCTCATATTTTCCTCTTTTGCAAAATTACAAGCCCAAAAGAAAAAAGAAAAAGAAAAAGACACAAAGAAAGAAATAGAAAGATGAAGAAGAAACAGGTTAGGACCAATGAATGTATATATGTATAAATCAATGAGTTTGATGGTGTTGTCTCTCCCCCAAATTTGGCTTCGTATGCAAACTCATTTTTTAGCTCATAATGCTGTAGGGGTGACCTCCCCTTTCTCGACCATTTTCCGATCTCAGCCGTCAATCTTCCGCCACCCCACATTTTTTTGATCGATCCATGCTGGCAGGATTTGGCGGTGGTGAATGGGTTGTTGACAATGGCTCCATCGTTATGGAGCCTTCTTCTTCTTCCCTAAAGAACAACGCTACCACTACCCACCAACAACAACATCAAAATCAACCTATCCAAATCCATATCAAAACCTAAGTCTAAATGAAATTCTTCCAAATTTAAGAAAACTGATAGTAATAAGAACATTCAATAGCAGTACTGTGTTTTTCAAAGGTATTTTAGAATAATGGTGGGTGAAAAGATAAGATTGTGTTTTTTCGAATTTACATAGTAGGTGAAGGGATAAGGTGAGTGAGAAAATAAGACTGCGATGTGAAAATAACAACACTCCATTTTTATTACGTGCTACTCACGAAATGTGATCATATTAAGAAAATACCACAAAAGTTTTATTATGGAGGTGTGAAGGGGTTGATTAATAGTCCATGATTTTTAAATATATAGTGAACTATGGTTTCAATTTATGAAACTTCTGTAATTCACTACTAAAAAATAATATAAAACTCTATGTTAAATTGCATACGGGTCCCGAGACTTAAATAAATACATAAATATATTGTACAAGAAACAAATCCTTTTGAAGAAAGAAAAATTACGAATATTTGCTCGGAATCCATGTGATTTGAAGAAAAATATAAACGAGGTTTTGGCGGGGTCATGGGTACTTAGAACCTTCGTCCTGTGTGTTTTCAGATCCACATGCATCGGGTCCCTTTACTTCTTCTTCATTTTGTATTTTTTTAAGTTTAAGGTAAGTTCACTGCACCTAATCTCTACTTAACCACTCTGTGGATCAATCGAATCTGGTGAATTATGCAAATCACTTGAGTTTTAATTGTCAAATTACGATTCATACCTCATATGGTTCTATATTAGCATGATGACGTGGTACTGTCAAACTCAAAAATGTTAAGATAAATCATACACACACGTGCACGTGTGCAGTCACATAAAGAGAGTCATATCCCTCGTAATGAAAATCAGTTCTTTCCCACTAATTATTGGTCTTGATACCAAGAGATGTATTTGAGAATCAGGATGGTATAGTATAGGATATAGTCGACTTCAAAATAGAAACAAGAGTGATTAATCAAATGAAGGAGATAAACTTAATAAGAGATAAATGACTTTTCTTTATCACTATAGATGGTGAAAGTGGCACCTATCAACTTTAAAAAATGGTAACAACGATAGTTTGATTTCTCTTTTGGCTACAAAGGAAAAAAAAAATCATTAATAGAATTAAAAGCATACATAAGATGAGAGAGAAAATCAGGTGGGTTCCATGAGTCACCTACCCCCCAACTTGTTTCTCAATCCCCTTTTAAGTTTTTTTTTTTTTTTGGTGATTTTCCCACTCCCCTTTTGTCCACTTACACTCTTTTTTGTTTTTGTAAGTGGACAAAAGAAGAGTGGGAACATACAATTTCTAACAAAAAGAGTGTAAATGGATAAAAGAGGAGTGGGAAAATCAGTTTTTTTGTTTTTTTTTTTTTAAGGGTAATTAATCCACTTTCATGTTGACCATTATTCTCTAAGCAACATTAATAAAGGCCTGACCATGTTCTTATGGGCCCAAGAGTAACCCTTAAAGCCTAGTACTCCGAATGAGGCCCGATAAAGATGAAGTAAAGCAAAAGCCCACACGAAATCTTATTTAGTTACTGTCGGTCGACAAACACTTACATTCCACAATTATCAACGAACAAAACACAATTAGAGTAAAAAAAAAAAACATCATTATGAAATTTGCGTCCCAAGACCAAAGTTGAGTTCCTATACATCATTTTACAGTAGGTCAAAGAACATTTGGATGACAAAGCATCGACGTTACGAGTTTTTATTTTTGGTCGAAAAACTGATAATTTGAGTTTAGTCACAAATTGGACGTTAATTGCACAATTGACTCTGGTCTTATAAATTCAAAAATGTTGAGGACAATATTAATACCAAGAGATGAATGCATGGAAGAATATTCACGAGAGAAATATCCAATATATTATTAGAAATCATAAATTTGAAACAAAAAAAAAAAAAAAAAAAATATTATCAAATCACACATATAAGGAAGGACCCAGAGCCCACATATTAAGGTCACAACTGGCCCACAAAGCAATTTATCAATTTATTATTATTATTATTTTTATATTTCTTATTAATCTACTTGGAGGTTGAAGGTTGGAGGCTGGACCGTTATGTTTCTTTTGCTTTTTCGGCTATGACAGTTAGGTTTGGTCCATTTTAAGTCGGTTAATGAACCCCCAAAAAAGCTTCTATAATCCCTCCGATGCAGCCACCTGGATCATCCAACGGTCCAAATTCAGTTCGACACATCAGTCACAGTTACTTGCTCGTACTAAACTCTCTGGAAAATACAAAATTCCCGCAAAAAGATTAAAAAAAAGCGGGACTCGCGGTGGCCAAATCCGATGACACGTGTCGCCCACGTGACAGTGCAACCCAAAATGTCTGATGAGTCCGACGGTTGTAACGCAGCTATGCCACGCGGCGCGATCGAGTTCGTCCAAAAAGTGGGCCCATCAGCTTTATCCACCCACCTGCCTTCTCGTTCTTTCCAAAGATACTCATTCGTCACCCTCTTTTTCATTTATTTATTTCGAATAAAGATAAATATTTTCTGTCTTATGGACTCTATCTCTCCCTCAAAAGTTGAATCTCGAGCGCGAGCCAAGCTTTTCATTTCGCTATTTTGCCGCTCTGTACGTTACCCTCTGAAACGGAATTGAAAAACCCTAACCCTTACCACGTCCCGCGCTTTTTCCTCTTGGATCTCAGTCGACGAACAGGAGTTCTAAATTATCCCTGCGGATTTTAGATCCGTATTGTTTGAAATTCGATTCGAAGACGCTTTGGATCTCCCTGATTTCTCTTTGTTTATTCGGATTTGGAAGTCTTGTTCGATTTGAATCAGTAAAACAAGGTAAATTTGTGAAATTTTCCTTTTTAGTTCAGTCTGTTGCTAATTTCAATCACTGGTATACACTTACTCGTTGTCGATGATTCTAAAGGTTCAATTTTATTTATTTTTTCATGGTTTTGATTCTATTCTTTGATTTTAGGATAAGACTGTTATTGAATTCTGGGGGAAAGATTTAGTTCGAAATTCAAGGTCATTCATTTTTGAGACAAATTCAACCTGACCACCAGCAAATTAGGCCTCAAATTTTCGCTTTGGTTTTCTGATTGAATGCTGTCTCACAGTCTTGATTTTCCGAGCCTTAGCAAATTAGAGTTTCCAGTGGAGTTGTTGTACTTGGATGGAAGAAGAGGCGGTTTGTTTGGGCCAATTAACAGATGGGGGAGTGGAAACTGACGACTTCCCAAGAACTGAATTGAAGCGAGACCATCAGTGTGTCGTAGATGATACCGAGCCAGACTCATTTCCAAACAAGAAGCAAGCCAAAGAGCATTCCAATGAGGATATACGCTCGGAAGTTTCAAACCCGGTTGTCTCTCCAAAAGAGAACGCCTCCACTTTTCAGGACATAACTAGCCAACCGGCTGAAGTGGAAAATAGTAACCAAGTTGAGTGCGGTGAAGTCACTTCCCCGTGTTTGGGGAATTCAAGCTCAGGGGAGACCTTGAGCGATGGACAGCGTGCTGGGAATGATAATTCCCGAATTGATAACGATACGAATGGTGATGTATTGACTTCTCGTGTTGTAGTTGAAATTCCTAAGCTTGCCAGTTCATCTGGGATTCGCAAAATTACGTTTAAGTTCAGCAAAAAAAAGGAGGATTATGTCAGTCAGTCAGGGGCTTCAATTAGTCAGACTGTGAGTAATGGACTTGGCAGTGGCTTTACACATGGAGGTTCTTATGAGGATCCTGGAACAGACTTTCAAGCAATGGCTAGTACAAGTAGGGAGTTTCCTGCAAGTTCATATTCGAGGAAGTACGCTGAAACCGGAAATTGTCATCCATGTACTCCTAATAGGGAATTGGAAGCGTCTAACAAGGTTTCGAGCAGCTATCCTACAAATGTCAAAAAGCTATTATCTACTGGTATTCTTGATGGAGCTAGAGTGAAATATGTTTCCACCACATCAGAGGTAATTTATCGAATGTATTCTTTTTCCTCTGTTGGATATATGCTTGCAGTATGAATATTTATTTATTATAGAGGTCCTAATAGAAAGTTTGGCAGATAGCGCTGCATGGAATTATAAGTAATGGTGGCTATTTGTGCGCCTGCTCATTATGCAATTTCAGCAAGGTAAGGTTACTCATTATTTAGATTGTTATAGAGTTAAGTGCAATACTAGTTATAGATGATTGATTCAATGATATGAACAGGTACTCAGTGCATATGAGTTTGAGCAGCACGCTGGTGTTAAGACTCGCCATCCTAATAATCATATATACTTGGAGAATGGGAGGCCAGTTTATAGTATCATACAAGAATTGAAGACTGCTCCACTAGACTCGCTGGATGAAGTGATAAGGGGTGTTGCTGGTTCTTCTGTCAATGAAGAGTCCTTCCGTGTTTGGAAAGGTGATGGTTATTCATGTGATGTTTTCGTTTTGAGTAAAGGGTCACATTTGCAATGTCGGAGGACTGGAAATGCTAATGCCTTTCTTCGGAAAAGGGATTGGGTCAAGGGAAAAAAGAAATTTTGTTCTGTAAATATAGAAATAATTTTATTGTAAGTACTATGAAGGCCCTAATGTTCCTTTTCTCTCTTAAAAATTTCTGCAGCAACCCTTCATCGAAGTGATGGAATGGCTGAAGTAGATAAAAGACCTTGTGTGAAGCTTCCTAAACTGCCTCATTCGCTTCCTAAACTGCCTCATTCGCTTCCTAGGCTGACTCATTCTCTTCCCAGGTAAGAAGCTTAACTCATGATATTTTCCTTTTTTTATACAATGCATATTTGTCAGTCATTAAATTTTGTTAGGCTAATCTAACGGTGGTTAAACTTAATTAAATTATATTTGAATAAAACATTGTATGTTCTTTTTCATCATATTGGTTAATTCAGATTTCAGATAAGATGCAGTATTTTGAATTAGAAAACTGAAACTGTGTTTGCCGTGCAGACCAAGCTCTCACACACCTTACTCAGTTATATACCAGAAGAAACCTGCTGAAGGTGGCAATAAGAGAAGGTTGCCCTCATCCCTCGTCCATTTTTTAAAATTCCCTTTTATGCTTCTTCAGATCTTCTTGAGTTTTTGTTTATAAGACTTGTTCCAATAATGGGTGAGTTTTTCTTAATCGGGAAATTTGTGCTGTTGATAGGGATAATGATCTTCACCGGTTACTGTTTATGCCAAATGGGCTTCCAGATGGAGCTAAATTGGCATACTATGTCAAAGGCCAGGTAAATTTTGACATATCTTTTATGTTGATTTTGGTTTCAGGTGTAGATGTATGTCATTTTCAATCTTTAATTGATATGATGATTTGATATTTACAGAGATTACTTGGTGGCTATAAGCAAGGAAATGGTATAGTCTGTAATTGCTGTGACAGAGAGGTAAATACTGAGCTGCAAAGACGACATCAAATTTGAGTTCTGCATTTTATTATAGCCCCTCCCTCCCTTTACTCTCACGTCAATTCTGTGTTTTATGCATGAACAGATAAGCCCTTCACAGTTTGAAGCTCATGCTGGAATGGCTGCAAGGCGTCAACCGTGAGTAGCTTCCAAAGAACTTTTGTTGTTGTTATAGTTGTTTAATGTGTCATGTATAGATAATTGATGTCCTTTTGCAGCTACCGTCACATCTATATTTCCAATGGATTGACGCTTCACGATATAGCCATGTCCTTGGCCAATGGGCAAAACCTCACCATTGGTGGCAGTGATGGAAATGATGATATGTGTGCAGTTTGTGGACATGATATGGGGGATATGATTTTTTGTGATGGTTGCCCTCGTGCTTATCATTCAGGTTGATATTGTATCTAATTGGTTCTATGTTTTTTATACTTGTTTTTAGTTCGTAGGTACGTTTGATTTCAGGTGTGCATATCAACTTTGAAGATCTTATTTTGATTTTGATTTTGGTGACAAATAAACTCTTCATGTTAAATGTCTTTTGTCCTTCCCTTGTTTTAGTAGTGCAACTGTGCTGAATATTTTAATCATTTGATCAATGGTTTTCGTTCCACATCTAATAACAGCACATATTGTCCCCATTGTACTTTTGATGGGAAGAGATGCCTTATTATGATGTCTTTTGTATTTTATATTCTCAAAAGGAGTCATGTTAGTTTATTCCTCTTTGGAAAAAAGATTTAATATATCAACATTTTGTTGGGCATCAAAGTCATATATATACAGAAATTCTCATATGCGGACGCCATGTATTTTGTACTATCCCTCCCTGCTTTCCTGCCTGTTTACAATAGCATCCGCACGATAATAACGTGCGGACATCCAGATAAGAGAATAACTGTATATATATATTGTAACATGGTGGTGTTAAGGTCCCTACGAGTCTATCAAACTAGTAGGTGCTGGGTGTATGGGTTAATATTGATGCTTGTTTGGTGCATTGATTTCTTTCATTGTATTGAGGTCTAACTTTGTTTGTGTTGCAGCTTGTTTGGATTTACCGTGGGTTCCTGAAGGTGATTGGCATTGTCCAAATTGTAGAGATAAATTTGAACCTGGTAGGAAAGCTGCTGGTGGGGAATCTTCAAATTTTGGAAAACCAATTGTAATACGGTTGACAAGGGTCTTTAAAGCCCCTGAATTTGAAATTGGTGGTTGTGTTGTTTGCAGGTTGGTTGCACTACTTTATACATTTCATTCATTTTGTGTGCATTTTAAGTAGCATGAAGTGAAGATCCTTTTTCTGAGGAAAGGGATAAGTTTTTGATACTCTGTGAAAAGTATATACACCTTCAGATGAGATCTTGGTATTAGGGAATGTGAATGATGGTTCACTTTTTTTAGTCTGGCCACATCATGTTCAACATAATGCTATGACTACAAACTGTTTGTTGGAAATTTGGTTGCTTGGATTCTAGGCAATTCCTTTGCAATATTTTTTATTTAACTTTTCTCAAGCACTCTTGAAAATTGATTTCTTCATTTGATGTACCCCATTTGCTTATCAGTTATAGAAACTGCTAACATATTATTTTATGTTTATTAGGAGCCATGATTTCAGTGCGGCTTTATTTGATGACCGAACAGTTATAATCTGTGACCAAGTATGACTTGCTTTTTCATTCTTTTGAACAAATTTTCTTTTCCATTATTACCATTGTTTTACTCTTACCCTTGCTTCTTGTTTAGTGCGAGAAGGAGTTCCATGTCGGTTGCTTACGGAACAGTGGATTATGTGACTTAAAAGTACGCTCTGAATCTTGTAATGGTTAATATTTTTATGTTTTCTGGGGTATTAATTTATCTTTCTCGTATCTTGCTGTAGGAACTCCCCAAGGATAAGTGGTTTTGTTGTGATGACTGTACTAAGATTCATGCAGCATTGCAGAATTTAGTATATAACGGAGCGGAGCGGATTCCAGCTCCATTGTCAGACACAATAATCAGGAAGCATGCAGATAGAGGTATATTTATTGATGGAGTGACAGATGATGTTCAATGGCGAGTTTTCAGTGGTAAAAGTCGCTACCCAGAACATCTACCCTTTCTTTCAAGGGCTGCTGCAATTTTTCGGGTAAGTATATATAATTTTGATGCCTTGTTATGATCTTATGACTCACTGAACTTGGACTTGGGTGTTTTATTCTTTCCCAATTGTTTGTTTAAATACCCAAAGAGAGACCAGCCATTTAGTTCACTGGCAGCTTATGTTCCAGACAGAGCATCAAAACTCTTACTAGACAAATATATTTACCTCATTATATGTTGTGTTCATTTGCCAGGAGTGCTTTGACCCTATTGTTGCACAATCTGGTCGCGATTTGATCCCTGTTATGGTTTATGGGTAAGTGATCCTTTTAATTATTTTGTTCATTGACAAACAAAAAGACAGAAACTTCCCCCCTTTCCCCCTTCCCCCAAGAAGAAAGATTAGTGATTAAGATTTGCAGTTCTGCGTCCATTTTCAAGCTGTGCATCTTCAAGTACACCTGAAGGCATCCCAACTGGGTTTTTTGTGTTGTTATGCATGTAGATACATTGCAATTATTGCTTCTTGAGTTCTGCTCCATAAAGAATGATTATGGGATTAGGTTTTTGTCTGTAGTGTTTGTTTATCCAATATAAATTTTCTGTTAGTAAACATTAGGTAAGCAATTCTTTTTCCTGGCATTTTTCAGGAGAAATATATCGGGCCAAGAGTTTGGAGGCATGTATTGTGTAGTTTTAATAGTGAGGTATGTTGCTTTTCTGGTATTGGTGTTGCTTGTACTATTTGATGGGTTTCTCCCTATTTTACACTTTTGGCAATCACTTTCTTTCATGTCCAGGTCTGTTGTTGTATCTGCTGGTCTCCTTAGGGTTTTTGGTAGGGAGGTTGCTGAGCTTCCTATTGTCGCTACAAGTAGAGAACATCAAGGAAAAGTATGTATATTGGGATTTAAAATTTGCTCGTCTATCTGATAGTACTTTGTTGTTTTCCCATTTCTATGAGAATGTCAGGCTCTGTTAAAGTTGAACCTCATTTTTTAAAATTTGTTTTCTAGGGTTATTTCCAAGCATTATTTTCGTGTATAGAGAGGTTACTTATTTCCCTGAAAGTGGAAAAGCTGGTTCTCCCTGCGGCTGAGGAAGCCGAGTCAATCTGGACGAAGAAATTAGGCTTTAGAAAGATGAGAGACGAGCAAGTAAGTGAATCACAGAACGAGTTTGCACGAAATGTCATCAGAATGTTTTGTTGATTGAATCAGTCTAAACTTGAATTGCAATAGTTATTTTTCAATAGAATACAGTTACAGAGAATAAATTTTTTAACTTGGTATTGTAATTGGGGCTATACTTGTTTCACATTCACTAACAGTTGAAAATGTTATCTTATTTGCCAGTTATCAAAATACTTGAAGGAAGTTCAGCTGACAATTTTCAGGGGTACGTCAATGCTGGAAAAGGTGGTGGAGTTGATGGATTGACCGCTCGTCGATTTTCCGATAGTTTCCACTCAGAGAAGTTAGGTGTAGAAACATATTGTTTTATTATCTATATGTTTTTTTTCTTTCACTGTTAGCGATTTACCACTCCTGTAAAATTGCTGCAATATTTTTTTTTTTTTTCGGGTTAGTTATTCGCCTCCCCAATAAGCTTCTGTTGAGATTTGTTTGTTGATGGAAACCTGGAATTAGGGTAGGGAAAGAGAGAAGAAAGAAGAATGTATGTAAAAAGTTAAAAAGAAAGTGGTGCATGCTGACCTTTTTTCATGCATGCGTGAAACTTTTGCTTAGTTTTTAAATCACGAGAATGTTGTCTTTGTTTTAAACATTTAACTTACTCCAGTGTATCATCTTCCACGCAGAAACCCTAAATAATAAGCCAATATTTTTCTCTGAACAGTTTAACACAGTATTGGATATGCTTTGTTCTCTTGTTTGTTGGTTTATTTTTGAGCTTCCCGAATCCGATATTATAATGTAACAAAACAAAATTAAACCCGATGCTGGCTGCAAATTGCCATGGACTAACTTCTAGTTTGATTGTGGAGGTCCTGACGTTTTGTACTCCAAGCTCGGGGAATCACTAACCGAAGTAAAATATCCAACGGAAAATTACTAAACCAAATACAAGTATTTCGGGAACAATGCCCCCTCTTGGCAAGAGTGTCAGCTGCCATATTAGCCTCCCGAAAAATTTGCTTAATACTCCAATCCCAATTTACTTCTAACAAGTAATAGCATGTTTTTCTCTATGCCAAAAAAAAAAAACAAACCAAAAAGACAAAGAAAACAGAACAGAACCCCTATTTTTGGGATGTTTTTTTAATGTAGTTGGAGTTCGACTAAAATCCCAATTGGGCTATATGTCTGGTCCGGCCTTTTGGTCGCACAAAGTACGAGAAGCTTCTGAGTTGTGATTAATAGGGTTTTAGCAGCTGCCCGACCCGAACCAAAACCAAACCTGATATTTCTCTTTACTCGTTAAACCCTGAACCCCAAAATCCCCAACCCCTGTAATCTCTCTGTCCATTGAAGTCGGATCATATCAAATGGCGTTCATCTCTAGCTTCCGACGCGTTCTTGGCGGATCTTCCTCTGCTATTCAATCCCAATTCGTCGCCATTCGTCACAATTCAACTCTCACTTCCCCCAAGCTATTCATCAGCGGTACATTTCAAATCAAACCCATCACTCTCTTAATTTCTTTCTGTTGTTCTCTGTTTGCTCGCAAAGCAAGTTTTCATTTTGTTGTTGTTTTAAACACATGTTTCAAATTGGCTTGTTGGGTTAAAGGTTCGATCTTCTTTTTTTCTTCCTAATTTTGGGGTTTTTTTTTTCTTTCGAGATTTGGCTATGGGGTTTCTTCTGCTTTGTGAAATTAGTTTATGATCTCTACCCAGATAATGCGAACTTAAATAATTGGGTGCTCCTTTCGTGTAGGTTGTGTGTGTGTGGTTTATGAACTATTAGGCCTTTTCCATTGCGTTTTCTTGTGCTTCAATCTGTTTTTTTTGTTGTTGTTTGATTCTTGTTGTGGGTTTAATTACAAAGCTGCAAACTCAGAGGTTCCAATGTTTGACTGATTTATCAAAAATGAAAAAAACGCTAACCAATATGGCTGCAAATCTGTTCAAGTCTTTATTCCCCCATCTGTTTGCTAAACAGATGTATAGATAGTAGCTACTACATAACCATTTGTATTATATACGAATAAAAATACAGAGAATGTTGATTCATCACTATTATTTCATCCATATGCAATGAGCAGGTCTTTCCAGACTAACAACAGATGAAAAGCTTCAAGAGGCATTTTCTCCATTTGGGCAGATTGTAGATGGTAAAGTCTGAGGCGACTTGTTTATTTGCTCCTGACATCCTTTCTTAGATTGCTTGCTTTGATGTTAATGTATTGCGCTAATGATTCTGCAGCGAAAGTGGTTATCGATAGGGCGTCGGGAAGATCAAAGGGGTTTGGTTTCATCACATACACGTCCATTGAAGAGGCCGAGCAAGCTAGAGAGGGAATGAATGCCAAGTTCTTAGATGGGTGGGTTATTTTCGTTGACCCTGCGAAACCTAGGGAGCCTAGGCCTCCACCTCAAGCACAGCCAAATCCTTCTGAAACTGGTTTTAGAACTAACAAGACCATTGGATGGTGTGGATGATTGCATAAGTTCCTTGGGTTGATCTCATTGTGATGAAAGCAAGGGGAGTTGAAATACTGTAATACTCTCTTGTGTTATTTGTATTGAGAAACATGAAAGACTTGGTAACTTAGGTGAATTATTTGGGACAGGGGACCTTGTTAACCTTGTGTATTGGTTCATTTTGGCCTCTGTTTGAACCACTTTAATGCTCTAATCTATATGCCAATGTTGGCTTCCTTCTTTTGTGCTTCATACTTGAAATGTTTATTTTTCTTACTACTTAAATGATTAGATGTCATGATAAATCAAGAACATTGTCTCATAATTCAGTGAATTTCATAGGGTGGAAAGCCCCCGAATTTATAGAATAGAGTAGACTGAAATTATCAATCAAGCAAATCGGACGTTGTGAGTTTGGCAGGTTTTGGGGTGATCTTGCGTGACTCATCTGGTGCTTTTTGTGGTGGAACAGCGGGTCCTAACTCTTGTGAGTTGGCCCTTATGTCTGAAGCTGAAGCGGCTCTATCTGGTTTGAAGTTGGCTGCACAGTTTGGGCATCAGAGAGTAATCTTGGAATCTGATTCCAAAGTTTTAGTTGAAGGTTTAAATGGCAAGTTGGGTAATAGAGCATGGACTATCTTGCCTATTATTAAGGGCATTAGGAAGTTGGCGGCTTCCTTTGTTTCCTGTGAGTGGTTTTGGGCTCCTAGAAGCCAAAATATGGCTGCTCATGAAGCTGCAAAGCTTGGTAGAGGTCTGGTGGAAGAGCGATGCTGGCTCAATAGAGCTCCACTTGCTCTCATGCACGTTCTCAATTCTGATGGTCTACTTGGTCCACCTTAGTTTGCATGTGTTTGGGAGGGGTCCCCTTTTGTACTAAACTGAGTGTTGGTTTAGTTTTCCACTCCTCCCTTCAGTATTTGTTTTCTCTTGTATGTTGTACTCTCTTTTTTTTCAAGTTGAATGAAATTAGAGTTCTTGACAACAACAAAAAAGGTAAATCGGAGAGGAGTTGTAAGTGACATGTGGTGCATTGTATCTAGGTGATGTTAGTTTTAACATGTTGGACTTGCATATTTGTTGCTCTAAAGATTCGCCATTTATTTGCAGGATCCAGGTGGTTATTGTTTGTATTTGAAAATATACATGTTAATATGTCGTAGAAAGATCTTGTGGTTGGTTGATGCTAGGGACATATCATTTTCGTAGTATCAGAAGACAAAATTGTATGATCTTGCATGTCTAGCCAATTGTAGCAAAAGGAAATGAACATGCACAAATCCATCAAAAGTCCATTGGGAGTGATCCAAGTTGATGTGCTTTTTTAACAATTGCTTTTCAGATAAGTATGCAAAACACATTTGAGATCAAAGTCCGATTGTGCACGGATGTTTCATTAAGAAATACTTAAAACTATCAACCAAGGTACACCAATTCAGTGACAAATAATAACATAGGCTTTTTCAGCTAGGGAAAAAAAAAAAACAGACAAAAACCTTACCGTTTCATCCTTCTAATCAGGGGCGGACCCAGGATTTGAAAATAACATTGGCTAAATTTACCTTACGTACAAACTTATTGAAAATTTGACGGTACGAATGAATTTCATTGATAACAAAAAAAATTCACGAGGGACATAATGAGCCTTACCCCTCAAAAACTCCGTATCCGATACCGCTATTCAAATAACATATATTTAAAATAATATATATTCAAAATAGTCATTTTCCAAATTAGCATAATTGTTACTAGAATTCCCCAAAAAACAATAGCCCAATACAAAGGTGTAAGGAAAAAGATCTTTGTGGAGTTGAGAAGAAGCAGCCTTGGAACTGGTACAACCGACCGATCGATAAGAATGTTGGTTTTTTTTTTTTGTTTGGTTAGCCAGCCTAGTGGGGATTAGTTAATAAGATTGGCCTACGCTAGGGTATTATTTTAGTCTTTTAAAAAACAAGTCTCCTGGGCTATAGCCCAAGTTAGCTTGTTAGTAGTACCGTCCCTGCCGCGTAAGACAGTCCTAAGACAGTCCTGTCCAGTGTCCAGTTCACACACTCACACCTAAGACTTTGTCCGTGTACCCAATTGTCTGAGAGTGAGAGGAGATTCGATTCGAGTTCTTAATTCTCACGCACTATACTATTCGAAACGTTTCGGCCGCCAGAACAAAATAAATACGTTTCGATCATAAAACCCCCTCACTTCAACCATAAAACCCTAAAACCGCCATTTTCAAATCCAACTCCAGAAGGCAGTAGCTTCCAGTTGTGTTGCAGAGATGTATGTATGCGTTCCTCAGTACGTCTCCATCAAAGTCCCCGCCATTCCTCGTTTCGGTTCGTCAAGGAGGGACTTCAAAGTTCCGGCTATTTCAATGACTGCAAGTGAAGTCTCCAATCACATTCCACCAGCTCCCATTTTCCTTCCTCAAGGGCCTTGGAAGCAGGTGACCTTTTCTACGACGCCGTTTTTGGGTTACTTCACATTCATCCCTGCAATTATGTTTTCTTATTTGATAAATTTTTGAACTTTATCGAGACTGTGATCGAGTCTGTAGATTCCCGGCGGAGTTACAGCTGCAGAAGGATTCAAAGCTGCAGGTTTGTACGGTGGTCTTCGCGCCAAAGGTGACAAGCCTGATCTCGCACTTGTCACTTGTGATGTCGATGCCACTTCTGCTGGTGAGTTGCTTGTGTTCGGTTTATGCTTCTTAGTAATGGTATTTTAAGCAACTTAATTTTGTACATTTTTTTAAATTTATACTATTTCTATGTTGGTTTACTCACAGGGGCATTTACCACGAATGTGGTAGCAGCTGCACCAGTGTTATACTGTAAAACAGTATTAAATACTTCCAAAACGGTGAGACGGAAAAGCTTCTTTTATTTATTAGACAGTGATGTTGTGCTTATTGTAAATGTGGTGCTCTATATGTTTGTGTTGGGTTTTATATTACTTTTCATGTTTTAATTTTGACATTTTGATCTGCTAACGAAAAGTGTTTACAACTTGTTAGGCACGGGCAGTTTTGATAAACGCTGGTCAAGCCAATGCAGCGACGGTAGGGCATTTACTGATGCATATTGTCAATTGTCCCATTGAATACTCTTGAGTATGCTGTTACAGTTAGTCTTGCACGCTAATAAATTTCCCATTTTTCTCAGGGTGATGCAGGTTACCAAGATGTAAGAGAGTCCGTCAGCAGCCTTGCTAAGGTATGTGGCATTAAGGGTGGCAAACACCCTAATCTGATAGATGCTCTTTCATAGGCTGGATTTGTTATCCCCTGTAAGTATGAAACTTTGTACTGCAGCTACTTCAAATGAAGCCTGAGGAAGTGCTGATTGAATCCACTGGTGTGATTGGCCAAAGGATAAAAAAGGTACTATATAACCATCATATTCCTGTTTCCATGTTATGCTAAAATTCTAATCATACTGATTTGCACAGGATTTCGTGAAATATTAACAGATCAGCTGATAAATGTGGCATGAAATTTTTTAGGAAGATTTATAACATGACCTGTTCTAAATGTTGTACAAACGATTCATTTTTTAATTTTCATATGCAGGAAGCACTTCTAAAATCTCTTCCAAAACTGGTTAATTCACTATCAGCATCAACTGAGGGGTAAATGTTAATGGTTTTATACTTGACTTAGATAACTGAAATAATTTCATATATACCTGGTTGTGTTTATTTTCAGCATCGAATTTCAGTTCGTGTTTTTCTTTTTCTGTGAAACCTTGGGGTTAAATTTTTTAAATTATCTCCCTGAGAAGTCATTTTGGCTTGGTCTGCAGGGCAGATGCTGCAGCAGTGGCAATCACAACAACCGACCTCGTTAGCAAGAGTGTGGCAATTCAGTCTCAGGTGTGCAAGATCTTGTTTCCTGTATTTATATCTGTAGTGAATGCAATATCTGCTACTTTTGTATTATGTTAATTGCTGATTAGCTGTACAAAACTTTGGCAATATCATGTTTTTATTTTTGAAACCTGTAGGCAGTTAAATAGAAACCAGGCTGGTCCTTAAAAAAAAACTGGTGAATTTTTCAGGTTGGAGGGACAGATATAAGAATTGGGGGAATGGCAAAAGGTTCCGGGATGATCCACCCCAATATGGCTACCATGCTTGGAGTATGTCTTCTAGTGTTTCTCTCTTGATGTTTGACTAGTTATTTATTAACTAATATGATTACATGGACAGGTAATAACAACTGATGCAATGGTTAGCAGTGATGTTTGGAGAAAAATGGTTCAAGTTGCTGTCAACCGAAGTTTCAACCAAATAACAGTATGTACATTTTTTTTCTTCCAATTATTGAACACCATAACTTAGTGGGGCTACACCTCACGTGGTGTAATCAACCTACCTTGTTGCATTTTTATTTTGTAGTATGATAACCCACCACATGTATGGGTTTTCTGCAGGTAGATGGAGATACGAGTACCAATGACACTGTCATTGCGTTAGCTAGTGGATTATCTAGATCAACCAAGATATCTTCCTACAACAGTAATGAAGCAGTACAACTTCAAGCAGGCCTTGATGTGGTTAGTTCTACTTCATTTAAGTTTTACATTCCTCTGTTATCTAAAAATCTTTTACAGTGAGCTCCAAAATTCTGACATCACTGGAAACTAATGAAAGAATAAGTTGACTTTTCCATTTGATTTGTTTTATGCAGTCTAAAACCAGCTTCTGGGATTCATATTTTACCGTATTCATTTTGCAGGTAATGCAAGGTCTTGCCAAATCCATAGCTTGGGATGGAGAAGGAGCAACATGCCTAATTGAGGTCTGCATTCTTATTTGAGATCAGTAATGATGCCAAAAGTATGTGAAAGAATAAATTTGAAGCTTGCAACTCAATTCTATGGTCCCTTAATCATTGTTTCTTTTCATGTCTTTAATCACAAATATAATGATATGTTGTAAAATGCTCAATGTAGGATCTGGGCATCTAAGTACTAGACTATGCAAATTATTTGGACTTTGATTTATTGACGATGATGAACTTATGGTCTTTCATGTATGACTTTAAAAATGCCTTGCTAATCCTGACTAGATGTGCAGGTAACGGTGACTGGTGCAGACAGTGAGCCTGAAGCAGCAAAAATAGCACGGTCGGTGGCATCTTCTTCACTAGTAAAGGCATGATATCCCAACCCTGCCTACCTTTTTGATGCTTCAATATACCAAATACTAAATTATTTCCCAAATGCCACTCAGGCTGCAGTATATGGCAGAGATCCAAACTGGGGACGCATCGCTGCTGCTGCAGGCTATGCAGGAATATCTTTTGACCAAACCAAGCTCCGAGTATTGCTAGGGGATATTCTGCTCATGGATGGTGGGGAACCACAATTATTTGACAGGTAACTCCTAAGGTTTTCTTTGTGTCAAGCACATTTTCCCTTTCAGCATGTCATCTTTTCCTCTCTGTGGAGAAGATCTATTCTAAACCTAGTAGTTTGACTAGCTGGATCTCGTTTCAGGGGTGCAGCCAGTGACTACCTCAAGAAGGCTGGTGAGATCCATGGCACAGTTGCAATCAATGTATCTGTGGGTAAGTTTCTGAACCAAGTGGAGCATTATGCAAGTCGGATATTCAACTGTGACCACAATCATAACTAATTAATTCCATCTGCCTGAGTACTAACTAAGCCTGCAAACTTAAGTTTCTTGGTCCATCTTTCGTTTCCATTGTGTTTGATATGCCCTTTACTTTTGAACAGGTGATGGTCCGGGACGAGGTCAAGCATGGGGCTGTGATTTAAGTTATGATTATGTTAAAATTAATGCCGAGTACACAACATAAAGTACTCGTCATTGTGTAATGCCCGACTGGAATTTCAAATGAGATATTTATCAGTCTAGTCTTCAATTCTTTTTGTCCTTAAGCATTTCCTTGAGTGAATGTAACACCAGAAGGTCCAAAACCACCATGCATTGTCCTTTAAACAATGTAATGTCAAGACACTGTTCCAGGTTTCACGAGCACTTGATTCATTTCCCTCAATATCAAAACCCCAACTCGCTATTTTATGCACCTATATTTCCAACGTGCTTAAAATCAATGTTCCTCCACATGAAATTAGGGTTGTTCTACCATGCTTTTGCCTTATGGATACAGGTTTAAAATCTGTGTATTCATAAACCTTTTTTGAATAATATGCAGGCAAATGTGTCTTGATGCACACACAAAAGTGCCATATCCATACAGAACAAAGAATCCTATAAATTTATCGAAATGGGAAATTAACAAGTGAGGCCAACCCATTACACCGAATACAATTACAAAATGCTGCTGCAAAAGGAACATAAGAAAACCACACATTATATATAAAGGGATCACCACACTGGCTCAACGACAGACACAAACAGAGTAGCATATTGTTCCAAGTTTTCTCAAACACCCAACCCACCCCAACAGAACTGTAGTGAGTGATAATTATTTATGTACACAGCGTAGGATGTGATACTCGCAACAAAATATGTGGTTCACAGGGCTTCTGCAACTGGGTAATGCATGCTTGTGAGCGAATTTTTCAATAAGGAGCTCCCACAATAAGAATGTGGGTCTGGGCTGCCAACCACAAGGTCACCAAAATCATTGTTTGTGTCAACCAATGTTTCACGGGAATCCAGATATCTGTGAGACCTCTCGGAAGCCCCACCTTTGCGATATTGCTTCTTCTCTTTTCCTCGAGAAGAGCTGCCCTTTTGCCCCTTCTTTCCATCTCTCTTCCAATTTTTCTTGTTCTTTGACTTCTGCTGTTTCTTGCCTGTAACTGTGTGCGACATCGATGTAGCAGGCGGATCATACACATCAGGGGCCCAAGTGACAGTAAGTTTCCCTGGTGATAACCCCTCTTTCTCCCGGCTGCCTTTCATTGCAGAAAGTAGCTTCGAAGGAGCCTGCACAAGTACAATAAAACCTATGAGCAGATGACCTGAGGAAGCAAGCTCAAGTAGACCATCACAACATTTCTTTTCAAGTAGCCAGTTCAATCCATCCAAAACTAGAAGACAGTATGATATTCAGTCAAAATTGTTTTAAACATAAATATAATTACACTAACTATATATACACATATTTCTTTAAGACTGGCAGTTTAATCAAAGAAGCATTCTTTTTATAATTTTTCTGGATAACTTGACAGAGGAGATGCACATAAATAAAGTAGCTCCAGCACCTTGCACGAGCTAGGCAGAGACTACCGACAAAATGGAGATGAGATAGTGATGACTAATGGGAAACCAATGCTTCATGGGCATCAGTAGTAGCAATGACTAATGCGAAATCCAAGAGTGAAAACATAGTATTAGCAAAGAACGACGGGGTATACAACTCTATGGCCAATACGCTCTCACAATAAGCACAGATAACTCACAGGCAAAGACACTGAGCGTGAGTAAGCTTGGTGAAGATGTTCCTCCACAAATGGCGTCTGCATGGCTGTTTTGGGTTCCTCCTCTGCCATATCTGAGGAGGCATTACGAGGCAGCACCCCATTAGCATTAGGAAAGGTTACACACTTATTCAAGCACTTCTGAGTGATTTTTCCCTGTTGTGCTTTAGGACCTTCGCATGCGTCTCTTTCCTCCACGCCGCTAATAATTTCCTCATTAGAAGAAGCATGTTCCACTTCTCCAACATTTTTGATACCAACGTACTCTTTCCCAACATCTTTGAGATTCAACGACTCTTCAACAAAATCTTTGATATTCAAGGACTCTTCTCCAACATCTTTGAGATTCAACGACTCTTCAACCAAATCTTTAATATTCAAGGACTCTTCTCCAACATCTTTGATATTCAAGGACTCGTCAACAGCATTTACAAGGTCACTTACCAAACGATCCGAAAGCGAACTATTAGGACTTTGTGCTTGGTTCGCAGAGGGCTGCAAACCTGGGAAGCTGCCTACATTTTTCAACACCGACTTACCACACGGAGAGCTTATGTCCATCTACAATACCAGATTCTACATAGTGCCAAAACCCACATGTTAATGAACGTTAAGTGCAACTCCAGAAATTAAATCAACCCAGTTACCCAAACACATAATAAAGCAAAAAAGAACTACATATTCAATCTAATTCATGATATCCAGCTGCCAATATAAACGATTTGAACTAAAATGAACATAAAGTCGTGAAATTTAATTACCTCGTATAAAGTTCAGAGCTAGAATAACCTTGAGACCAAGAACTTATAAACCAATACCAAACTTTGTAAGCCTTACGGATCCTCCGATCCCTAAACCTCAGATTTCTTGACAAAATTATCTAACCTCTTGCAGACCACAAAACGAGAAGAACACCAAAAACCCAACAAACAGGGAGTCTGGGAAGCTGAGCAAGAACCACAAAAAGAACAACCCAAAGTGATATTAAAACCTAATGTTAACTAAGATTACCACGCCGATCGCTTTTTTCCATACGTTTCAGACGATGAGAGCTAGAGCCGCCGTGGAAGGAAGTCAAGTTAGGGACCAAGGGTCGTAGCAGGAGTTGAATGGGCACCGAAGGCATTATCGTATGCTCTTCGAAACCCCTAAGCCCGCGCGTTGCACAAAACAACACTCACAAAACCACCCCAGATCGTGAACCAGAGCCGTGAAATCTGAGAAAACAGGGTTCTAGGTCGTCTAGAAATCAGGGGTTTTAGGGTTAGAGCATGATGAAGGATGAAGAAATTGCCAAATGGGATGTTGGGTAAGAGTCAAGGGTTTCAGAGATGAGATCGGAGAGATGGATCAAAGAGGATATGGGATTGAAGAAGGTGTTGGGTTTTTCCTTTGTTTGTTTTATATGAAGGAGAAGGAGACGGAATATTTGGGTCAATGGGTCCACGGACGAGTCTGGCGGTTCTCAAATCAAATCGGAGGCGTACACGTGTTCATATCGGCTGGCAACCCAGCC